AGGCTTGTGTTAGTCAAATTTTGTGGCTCTCTCATAAAAAATTCATTTGGTCTTCGACTCTCAGTCTGGTTAGCGGCTTGCTAAAAACTGAGTCATATTGGGACTTGAGTAGCTCACTCATTTCCTTGCTGTCATCTGTGTAGGACCCATCTTGTTTAAGTAGGGGCCCAATACTGGACGTTGTTCTCGATTTTGATTTGGCATAGGAGAAGAAATACTTTGGGTTTCTTTCGATTTCATTTATGGCTTTTAGTTCTTCCCGCGATTCCTGACTCCTAAAGGATTCTTTTAGCTTAAGTTCGATGCTTGCTATTTCTCTGACCAGTGTCTCCCTGCGCATTTCAGATATATTGACCTCTTTTAGCCGCTCTGTTATTCTTTTCCGTCGCCTGTAAAGGGAGCGCCTGTCTCTTTCTATTTTACATCTACTCCTCCTTTTTCTTAGAGGAATAAGCCTTGTGCATACATCGAGTGCCACCGAGTTAATCTGTTCTAGGCATAAGTTTGGGTCTGTGTTGCTTAGTTTTATCTTCCCAGCTTATATCGGTTAGGACTTGGTTTACTTGGTCCCACTTTATGTTTTTGTTATTGAAGTTGAATTTGGTGAATGCTCCCTCATGACTAGTCTCATTTTGTCGGTCTGGGGCTCCATGCATACATGTCTGAACCTCAATTATGTTGTGATCTGAGTATATTGTTTTTGATATGGTGACATTTCTTATCAGATCATCATTGTTAGTGAAGATGAGGTCTAGTGTATTCTCCAGTCTTGTAGGCTTATTATTTGCTGGTTTAAACTGAATTTTGTGCAGAGATTTAAAAGCTCGTGTGTGAGGTTTAGTTTTCATCAGAGCTGCCTCCTGGTGTTATTCTGCAACAATATTATTGCTATATTCCTCCATTTTAGGTGCCTTAAGTTGAAATCCCCCAGGAGCAAGATGTTGGGTGCAGGAGCTGGAAGATTTTCCAGACAGTGGTCAATTTTTAACAGCTGTTCCTGGAATTGCTGGGATGTTGCATCCGGAGGCTTGTAGACTACCACAATGACTAGGTTTTGGTTCTCGACCTTTACTGCTAAAACTTCCATACGTCATTTGAGGCATTAAGCAGTTCTGTGCAAACAAGTGACTCTGCAATGTACAGGCCAACCCCCCCCTTTTGCCTGTTTCACTCTGTCACATCTGTATAGGTTGTAACCTGGGATCCATACTTCGTTGTCCAAGTGATCCTTTATGTGGGTCTCAGTGAAAGCCGCGAACATTGCCTTTGCCTCTGCAAGCAGTCCACGGATGAAAGGTATTTTGTTGTTTGTAGCTGGCTTTAGACCCTGTATATTTGCAAAGAAGAATGTTATCGGACTGGTGGTATTGTTGGTACTGGGGGGGGATTTTTTTTTCCGGCATTAGTATCTGTATCTGTTGGTTTGGAGTGGAGGCCATCGACTGTGGTTCCACTCCAGGAATGACTGGATTTGGTGTACGATTTCTGCCCTTTCCTGCCAGTTTTTTTTCCTTCCTGGCACTAAAAAACCTCTCCCTCTTGAGTGGCTGTGGCTACCCAGGTTTTCCCCTGGCCTGGATGTTTTGTATCTTTTTGTCCCCTTTAGATGGTATGCTGGCAATTTAAGTTATAGCACAGTCTTTTCCTGTACTGAAGAGGTACACATTTCAGGGTGAAAAAAGCTTACAGGAAGGGAGTTTGCATTTTCCTGTTTTCATATGGGCATGGCATTTTCTAGGGTGGTCATAGTTGCATGTCCCATCTGTTTTTCCAGATTTCCCATGCCAGCAGATACCAAGTGCATAGTATGTGCACAGGCTTGGTTTCCGCTTGCCTTGGGTTTCTGTGACTGTATTCCCTGTTGGTGCATGTTTCCCTGTCTTACTTCTATCCTCCCTAGCACCAACAATGGAGCTCCCACCAGTTGTTTTTGGTAATTTATCCTCACTATTGCTATTGGAGTCTCTTGTTTGCTATTTCCTGCGGTATTTCTAGTTTGCAATATTGGTTTTATCTTATCTTTGACTACACTTGTTTCCCTACTATGGCTCCTGTCCCCTATGAGGTCATTTATATGTATTCCTTCCTGCGTATAATTCCCGACATCCCTGGACAATATCTCCAGCTTCACCATTTCTGTCTCCCAGGACAGTATCTCCAGCTTCACCATTTCTGTCTCCCAGGACAGCACCTCCAGCTTCACCATTACTGTCTCCCAGGACCAGTATCTCCAGCTTCACCATTTCTGTCTCCCAGGACAGCAACCTCCACTCACCATTTCGTCTCCCCCGGGCAGTATCTCCAGCTTCACCATTTCGTCTCCCGGGACGCACCTCCACTTCACCTTTACTGTCCCCCCAGGACACCCCAGCTTCACCATTACTGTCTCCAGACAGCACCCCCACTTCACCTTTCTGTCCCCCAGACAGCACCCCCACCCACCATTACTGTCTCCCAGGACAGCACAATCACCCAATTTCTGACCCCAGGACACACCTCCAGCCTTACAGTTTATGACTCCCGGGCCATTTTCAAGGGCATACCATTCGCCCGACATTTAAATTTTCCCCATCTGTTGTAAAATTTCCGGGTTTTTATGAAAGCAGCTTTGATTTTCCCTTTTTAATACCCTTGTGATTTTAGTCCACGTTTTTCCTCATTTTACATACCCAAAAAACACTTCTCTTTTTAATACGTTGAGCTATTCTGGATATCTGCACAAGGGCTGACACCAATTTTCCACAAAAAACAAAATTTTCCTGTGGAAACCCTTTTGTTTTGACTGACCACAGACACAAAACACCTTTATAAAATTTTTTAAAGGTTGATTTTCTGCAATTCTACAAACAACCTCTTTAAATTTTATTTAAAAACCTTTAAAAGAACTCTAGCTATTTTATTTCTGTTTTTTAACTCTTTTTGGGATATTGGACCTTACCTCACTTCCGATTTTTAATGTTTGGGGTTTTTAGGGCATCTGTAACCCATTTTAAACCCCCAAGTGGCTTACTTAACTATAATATCTTTAAAACTATCTTGTCTTATATTAATGCCCAAAAACCAAATCTCCACAATGCAATGTTTTTTCGTCATACTCTCGGCCGACTATCAGAGTAGTAAGATTTACATCAGAGATCTATCACTTATTTTATCTTAAACTGACAGTCTCTTGCTGTCTGCAAGTCATCTCGCTCTTCTGAACACATCACAGACAGTCAGAAAATATTTCTTTACAATACATGGAAAAACAGGAAATGAATCGCCTAGAGACCTGTGGAGATGTCATCTCATATAACTTATTGTAAACGTGATTGACTAAATTGCACAGCGCTTGGAGAACCTTGTTCCTTGATAGACTTTCACTCACGCTTATAAAACATTGGTGGAACACCTAGAAGAGTGGTGGAGCACCTAGAGTGGTGGAGCACCTAGAAGGTTGGTGGAACACCTAGAAGATTGGTGGGGCACCCAGAAGAGTGATGGAGCACCTAGAGTGGTGGAGCACCTAGAAGATTGGTGGAGCACCTAGAAAGGATTGGCTTCATACATGACTACCAGCACGGCCTCAAGGAAGGGAAAATCCTGTGCCACAAAGCCTACTGGAGTTCTACATCAAATATATATTTACTGCCAGTACATGTACAAGGTATACCAGTACATGTACAAGGTATACCAGTACATGTACAAGGTATACCAGTACATGTACAAGGTATACCAGTACATGTACAAGGTATACCAGTACATGTACAAGGTATACCAGTACATGTACAAGGTATACCAGTACATGTACAAGGTATACCAGTACATGTACAGAGGTATACCAGTACATGTACAAGGTATACCAGTACATGTACAGGTATAACCAGTACATGTACAAGGTATACCAGTACATGTACAAGGTATACCAGTACATGTACAAGGTATACAGACCATAGCTGACATACTACTATATAGAAAGTCCCTTGTTATGTACAGCATTTCCCGCAAATTAGGTCAGTTTTGTCCCAGGATGTGACCCACACCAGTCCACTAACATCCAGGATGTGACCCACACCAGTCCACTAACACCCAGGATGTGACCCACACCAGTCCACTAACACCTGGATGTGACCCACACCAGTCCACTAACACCCAGGATGTGACCCACACCAGTCCACTAACACCCAGGATGTGACCCACACCAGTCCACTAACACCCAGGATGTGACCCACACCAGTCCACTAACACCCAGGATGTGACCACACCAGTCCACAACACCCAGGATGTGACCCACACCAGTCCCACTAACACCCAGGATGTGACCCACACCAGTCCACTAACACCCAGGATGTGACCCACACCAGTCCACTAACACCCAGGATGTGACCCACACCAGTCCACTAACACCCAGGATGTGACCCACACCAGTCCACTAACACCCAGGATGTGACCCACACCAGTCCACTAACACCCAGGATGTGACCCAAAACCAGTCCACTAACACCCAGGATGTGACCCACACCAGTCCACTAACACCCAGGATGTGACCCACACCAGTCCACTAACACCCAGGCACCCATTTTACTGATAGCTAAACATAGACAACCGGTGCAAGGAAACACGCCTACTGTCGCCACCCGTGCCGGGAATCGAACCCGGACCCTTCACCGTGTGAAGCGAGAGCTTTTGCCACCAGGCCACGGGCCACAACGTAACAGAAGACAGGAGGGAAAGGGATGGACAGATTGCATTTTCTATGTAAGAAGCCTTTTGACAGGGTACCACACAAGGAATTAGTACGATAGAGGAACAGACAGAAATAACAGGTAAAGCACCACAGTAGATCATAACATACTTGGCGGGAAGGAAACATCGGGTAATTATCCGTGACGAGGTGTCAAAGTGGGTGCATGTGACGTCTGGGGTTCCACAAGGATCAGTATTTAAAGGGCCCGTGCTCTTTCTTGCATATGTGAATGACATGACGGACGTGACTGAGTCGGAGGTGTTCCTGTTTGCAGGCGACGTGAAACTAATGAGAAGAATACAGGTGGACCAAGACCAGGAAATGTTACAAATGGATTTGGAGAAGCTGCAGGTCTGGTCTGACAAGTGGCTACTGGAGTTGAACTCTGGCAAAGTGTAAAGTTATGAAATTGTGGAAGGGCAAAGAAGTTCGCAGACAGAGTACAGACTAGTGGGCAAAGGCCCGCAAACCCACTCAGAAGGGTCTTATGGTAAGTATAGCACCAAGCATATCCCCTGAGGCCTCTCATCATCCAATAACTACTGCAGAAAATTTTCGTTGGAAAATGAAACGGCCTGTAGATGAAGTGGAAGGCAGGATCTACCATTTAAAGAAGAGGTACGATAAAAGCTCTCGAAGCCGGAGAAATGAACTTATTAGTGCCAGCGAAGAGGCTGGGCCAGGAGCGAGACTCGACCCCTGAAACCACAAAAAGATGGGGAGGTGGATCTAGGGGACTCAGGTCACATAGAGTGATTTTTAACGGGAAAGATCTGGAAGGCTAAGACTGGAAGAAGCAGAAGCCAACACAGTTTTAAAAAAAGAATATAAGCTTATATTCCAGGGGAGTGAAAAACCCTTTTTGGGCCCGCAAAAAGGGGGCCAGGGGGAGACTCAACCCCGCAAGTCATTGGTACCCTAAATTTAAGGAGGGAAAAAAAACCAAAATACAAAGAAAGATAGGAAGAGGAGCAAGTGGCTAGTTTATTGTGTACCTCAATCCCTCCGTGGATGGTAGTGGGTATTTTTTTTTGGGACCCAATCCATCCTGTGGATGGGAGTGGGTAGTTTATTTTGACCTCAATCCATCCTGTGGATGGTATGGGGTAGTTTATTGGTACCTCATATCCATCCGTGGTGGTAGTGGCTATTTATTTGGGACCCATATCCATCCTTGGGTGGTATGGCATTTATTGTGTCCTCATACCATCCGGGATGGGAGTGGCAGTTTTGTGTACCTCATTCCCTCCTTGGATGGAGGGCAGTTTATTGTGTACCTCATATCCACCTGTGGAGGTAGGGTAGTTTATTTGTGCACCTCATATCCCTCCTGGGATGGATGGGTTTTATTGTGTACCTCATAAACCTCCTTGGATGGAATGGCTATTTTTTGTGTACCTCATATCCATCCTGTGGATGGGAGTGGCTATTTTTTTGTGTACCTCAATCCATCCTGTGGATGGGAGTGGCTATTTATGTGTACCTCATATCCATCCTGTGGAGGGAGTGCAGTTTTAAAATTTACCCAATCCATCCTGTGGGGGTAGTGGTATTTATTGGTACCTCATATCCATCCGGGATGGTAGTGGGTAGTTTTTTTTGGGGACCTCATATCCACCTTTTGGATGGTAGTGGCTAGTTTATTTTTGTACCTCATACCCCCGTGGATGGTAGTTTCAGTTTTTTGTGGGACCCATACCATCCCGGGGTGGGAGGGCAGTTTAATTTTGACCCAATCCACCTGTGGATGGGAGGGGTTTTATTGTGCACCCATATCCCTCCTGTTGATGGTATGGCTATTTAGTGTACCTCATATCCACCCGTGGGGTGGTATGGCGTTTATTTGTGGCACCTCATACCCCCTGTGGGTGGTATGGGTATTTATTTGTACCTTACCATCCTTGGATGGTATGGCAGTTTATTTTGTACCCATATCCATCCTTGGAGGTAGTGGGTAGTTTATTGTGTACCTCATACCATCCTGTGGATGGTAGTGGCTATTTTTGTGTACCTCTATCCAACCTGTGATGGTAGTGGCAAATTTTATTGTGACCTCATATCCATCCCCGGGATGGTAGTGGCAGTTTTTTTTTTGTACCTCAACCACCTGTGGATGGGAGTGGCTATTATTGTGTACCCCATATCCCCCTGGGATGGAAAGGGCTATTTATTTTTACCTCTATCCATCCGGATGGTAGTGGCATTTATTTTTCACCTCTATCCATCCTGTGGATGGTAGGGGCTAGTTTATTGTGAAACCCCATACCAACCTGTGGGAGGAAAATGGCTAGTTTATTGTGACCCAATCCACCTTTTGATGGTAGTGGGTAGTTTTTGTGCACCTCATATCCACCTGTGGAGGTAGGGGTATTTTTTGTGTACCTCAATCCATCCTGTGGATGGTAGGGCTAGTTTATTGTGCCTCATACCATCCGGGATGGGAGGGCAAAATTTATTGTGTACCTCATACCATCCTGTGGCTGGGATGGGTAGTTTTTTGGACCCATATCCATCCGTGCAGGTAGTGGCTAGTTTATTTTTCCTCATATCCACCGTGGATACTATGGCTATTTTTTTGTGTACCTCAATCCACCTGTGGATGGTATGGGTATTTTTTGTGACCTCATACCCCGTGGAGGTAGTGGCTTTTTTGTGTCCTCATATCCAAAGTGATGGGTTTGGTATTTATTGTGTACCCCAACCACCCCGTGGTGGGGGGGGCTAGTTTATTGTGCACCTTATTCCAACCTGTGGATGGTAGTGCTATTTATTGTGCCCTCATTCCACCTGTGGATGGTAGTGGCTATTTTTTTTGTACCTCATATCTCCTTGGATGGTAGTGGCTATTTTTTGTTAAACCCCAATCCATCTTTTGGGGTGGTAGTGGGCTAGTTTTTGTTACCTCATATCCTCCTGTGGGTGGTAGGGGTAGTTTATTGTGTACCTCATATCCATCCGTGGATACAGTGCTAGTTTTGTGTACCCAATCCTCCTGTGGTGGGAGTGGCAGTTTTTGTACCTCATATCCATCCGTGGATGGTAGTGGGTTTGTTTATTTTGTACCTCATATCCATCCTTGGAACTATGCTAGTTTATTGTGTACCCCATAACCATCCTGGGATGGTAGTGGCTAGTTTATTGGTACCTCAATCCATCCTGTGGATGGTAGTGCTAGTTTATTGTGTACCTCATACCATCCCCGGGGTTTTGTGGGAGTTTATTGTGTACCTCAACCATCCGTGGGGGTAGTGCTAGTTTATTGTGTACCCCAAAATCCATCCCGGGAGGTAGGGCATTTTTTTTTGTACCTCAATCCCCGTTGGGGGGTGTGGGTAGTTTATTTTGTACCCATATCCCCCCCTTGGAGGTATGGCAGTTTATTGTGTACCTCATATCCATCCTGTGGATGGTATGGCTATTTTTTTGTGTACCTCATTCCATCCGTGGATGGTAGTGGCTAGTTTTTTTGTGTACCTCATATCCATCCGTGGGGGTAGGGCTAGTTTTTTTGGACCTCATACCATCCGTGGATGGGATGGCTAGTTTATTGTGTACCTCAAAAAACCATCCTGTGGATGGGAGTGGCTAGTTTATTTTACCCAATCCACCTGTGGAGGTAGTTTGGGTATTTAATGTGTACCCCAATCCATCCTGTGGATGGTAGGGGTAGTTTTTGGTACCTCATATCCACCGTGGGGGTAGTGGGTATTTTCGTGTACCCAATCCACCCCGTGGGTGGTGTGGCTAGTTTTTTTGTTACCTCATATCCATCCCGTGGAGGTAGGGCTATTTTATTGTGACCTCAACCATCCGTGGAGGGATGGCTAGTTTATTGGTACCTCATACCATCCGGGAGGTATGGGTAGTTTATTGTTACCCATATCCATCCGGGGGGTAGTGGCTAGTTTACGTGTAACCTCATACCACCCTGTGGAT